GAGTGTGAGTGTGGGTGTGTGGGTGTGTGTGTGTGTGTGTGTGTGTGTGTGTGTGAGAGAGAGAGAGAGAGAGGAATTGCCATCTGAAGGTCGCGACTGCCTGATGTGCTCTCCACTAGATGTGGTCTAGCCCGGACATCATAAATGACAGGCCTTTCAAACCATGGGAGCATTATGTGCGTCCCTTCAGGATACACCTGCATGTTCAGCAGATAGATATTCCACAAATTAAGAGATTCTTCATAAATATAGAGATGTTTGCATGCTTGAACAAACCATCAACCAAGAATATTTTTTATCGGAATTTGATGTCAATTCTCAATACTTTTCCAACAATAGCTGCAAACTTTATGTCACCCTTTATTAAAAAATAAATAAATAAATAAACCATGCTCAATTAAAAAACTTTTTATACAAATCATGCTCATTAGTGACTGAAAAATGTAACTAGAATCAGAGTCAGAGTTTTTATGGCCCCTTTTCTTTTGTGACTAAATGGACAGTCTTTGAAGACAGACGATCTATATGAAAGACGAAATTACACAGTATCAATAGGTGATTCAAAAACGTAACAGCCTTGGAATAAAATACACAAGACGGTATATTCTATGGCTGAAATAGAGATTGCAAGAGTAAATATAAGCAATCGTCTAGATTTAAGGACAAAAATAGGTGCAACTTTTCTAGGATCAAATTGAGGTTATGGAGATTTGACAACACAAAACCTTATCTTTGATCCCTACTAAACGGTTGAAAACAATAGCACGATGTCCTCCCTCGACATTGTAGAGACTGTTAGCAACTCCATACACGCCAAGCCCTGCAACAACTCCCAGTTTGATTAAGGCAGAGGCTGCTCCTCCACCAGGCATCTTTGGAACATTGACCTTCTTAAAGTTCATCTTCTAAATCACTGCAAATGTATGACATGCGACAAATAGCTGTGAAAAAACGTTACATCGAATAAAAGGATTTCATCTTCGAATGCATCGCTAGCTATAAACTAAATACTTTTGTTATAGCTACATAAATAAATAGTTGACATAACTAGAAACCAATAGCATGCAGAAACCTGACCTCAATCATGAACACAGTCCAAGACAAGGTTCTAAATTCTACTGATATAATCAATATGCAAATACATAAGTTAGGGAAAGAGCATATACAAGGGGCTTCAATTCGAGAAGGTGGTTTCATTGGACCCTCAAGATTTAAGACTTCCATGTTTAAGCTTCAACTTCAATTTTCTAATCCATGCCAGTCAAAAGGTCTGAAACTGTAATTTACAGAAGAAATGACCAAAACCTTGACTGCAAATCGAATCGAAAAGTTTGTAGTGAACTTGAATTCGATATTACAGGAGTCTGGAGATACCAAAACAAAAGATAGACTCTGAAATAATGATGTCTCAAGAACTCCATTAATTAAGCTCTGATAACAACGCAAGCTAATCCTCAACTCCCTCAAAACCACCTCAAAGCAAGTAAACAAATATTAAGAAAAGGGATTCATAACACCTCAAGTACTTCTTTCTTAATCAGAGGATATTGAAATGAAGATGCAGCAAAAATTGCTTGCTTTCAGCGAGCAATCACATTGAATCGGTTCAAGAAATTCAGAAAAAAAAAGAAGAAGAGAGAATTAGAAGCAACCTACATACCTTGATCGAGACAGGAGCAAAGGGAAAACTGTAAACGAAATAATGATAGACCACAAGGGTTTTAGACACAGAGAGAACTTGGGTAAGGGGTTAGTATTAGGGTTTTTCTTTCTCTATCACTTTTTCCATTTCTTTACTATTATTTTTATATAGAGGTCCCATCCCATATGTTTGGGGAAAAATTTCATTTTTTTTTGGAAGGGTTCCTAATGAATTTTTTCAGGAATCGGAATCAGAACTGAACTAAACTAATCGGTTCGGTTATTACACATATATTCATAGGAATTGAAAAAGAAAAGAACCGTGTTATAACGGTTAGGTTTTTTGATTCTTTGGGTAACCGACTTATGAAAAAATAACTGGTAATAACCGGTTTTGAGTTAATAACCGACCAAAAACAATTGCAACTCGTGTACTAAATGTATCATGAAAAACCGAGAACCGAAATGAGAAATGAGGAACCGGATATTATATACCAAGAACTGGAACCAATTTATATATATATATATATAAACATATAAAACATATATATTTCATATATATAGTCAGTTTTTCAGTTCATACACAAACATTTGAAAATGAATCAAGAACCAGAATCGGTTTGTGCAAAAAATAATTGGAAGAAAAAAATGTTTTTATTTTAAATAACCGAACCAAACCGGTTCTTTTTGATTCGGGCCGGTTTGGTTCTCCGGTTATTGGGTGTAAAATCTCACCCCTATTTTTTTCTCCATTTATAATTTTGATTTTATCATTTTAAACTATTCCAATTTCCATGTGCAAAGAGGGTATTTCAGTCATTAAGCATGCTGCTCACCTTCTTCCTCTCAGTCTTGCACAAAAAGCAGCCTCTTTTCTTTTCAGGTATAAACTTCACTCGTCACTCTCCCCACCCCACCACTTGTATTGTAAATCTCAAATCAAAACATTTTTTTTTTTTTT